CCAGTCAGGGTCCTTAGCAACCCAAAGATGTCTGAATATAGTGGTCCATCCTCTGCACTCAGCTCCTTGGCAGCATCTGACACTTACCTGGCTCCAGGTGCCCATTCTCTCCCAGTTTTCCTCTCACCTCTCGGCTATTTCTGCCCAGCTCCTTTGCTGGTTCTACCTCATCTTCAAGGGCTCAGTGCTGACTGCTGCCCTCCTCTGTCTAAACAGCTCCTTCCCATTTCATCCAGGCCTATGGCTTTAAACACCATTTGTTTTGCTTCCCAGATCCAAAGCTTCATCACTGGCCACTCTACTGAACTCAATGCATACACCCAACAGTTGACCAGGCACCTCCACTTTGATGTCCAGTCAATGTTTTAAACTCTTCATGGACAAAACTGATCTCCCTCCCAAGCCTGCTCCTCCCCCAGCCTCCTGCAGTGGCAGCTCTATCCCTAGACAACCTTGGAGCCACCCTTGACTTATTTCTGCCTCTCTTGCCATACTTGAACCATCCGGGAACCCCACCACCTCTACCTTTAGGACAAGCCTAGTGCCTCTCCCCGCCTCTACCATCACCTGGGCTTAGCCACCCAACATGACTATTTGGAATAACTGCAGGAGCCCTCGTGTCAGTGTCATCCTTGCCCCTGATTCCCCACCCAGAGCCTAGTCTTAATTCAGCAGCCAGAATAATCTATTTAAAACTTAAACTTGTGCCTGGCACGGTGGCTCACACCTGTAATCCCAGCACTTTGGGAGATCAAAGTAGGAGAACTGCCTGAGACCAGGAGTTTGAGACCAGCCTGGGAAACATAGTGAGACCCTGTCTCTACAGAAAATGAAAAACAAATAAGTAGGCAGTGGTGATATGTGCTTATAGTCCCAGCTACTCAGAAGGCTGAGGCAGGAAGTTCCCTGGAGTCCAGGAATTCGAGGCAGCATGAGCTATGATCATTTCATTTGTACTCCATCCTGGATGACAAAGCAAGACACTGTCTCTCTCTTTTTTTGTGGGGGGGGGTTAATTTCAGACGGCATCTCGCTCTGTCGCCTGGGCTGGAGTGCAGTGGTATAATCTTGGCTCACTGTAACCTTTGCCTCTCAGACGCAAGTGATTTTCCTGCCTCAGCTCCCAAGTAGCTGGGATTACAGGAGCATGCCACCACGCCTGGGTAATTTTCGTATTTTTAGTAGATACTGGGTTTCACCATGTTGGCCAGGCTGGTCTTGAAATTTTGACCTCAAGTGATCCACCCACTTCGGCCTCCCAAAGTGCTGGGATTACAGGCATGAGTCATGGCACCCAGCCGACACTGTCTCTTAAATAAGGAAATAAATAAATAAAACAGACGAACATGAAACTTCAAGTTGCTACTGATTCAGAGACTGCCCCCTCCTCTGTTCAGGACCCAATGTTGGCTCTCATCTTACTCAGAGAAAACTCCAGAGTCCTTATGTGGCTGACAAAGCTCTACAACACTTGTCCCCTGCATTACCCCCACCTGCCCCTTCTCTCCTCTTCCATGTCACTCCAGCCTCCTGGCTGCTTCTCCCACGCGCCATGCACATTCTGCCTCAGGGCTTTGCACTGGCTGATCCTGCCAACTGGAATCTTCTCCTGAAGTCATCCACATGGCTTCTTCCCTCTCCAAACCTCTGATTAATCAAAGTCCCTTTCTTGGCCAGGCACAGTGGCTCACTCCTGTAATCCCAGCATTTTGGGAAGTCGAGGCAGGCAGATCACTTCAGGCCAGGAGTTTGAGACCAGCCTGGCCAACATAATGAAACCCAGTCTCTAGTAAAAATACCAAAAAAAAATCAGCCAGGCAGGTGTTGTGGTGTGTGCCTGTAGTCCCAACTACTTGGGAGCCGGAGGCACAAGAATCAGAATCGCAGGCTGGGCACGGTGGCTCATGCCTGTAATCCCAGTACTTTGGGAGGCTGAGACAGGTGTATCACGAGGTCAGGAGATCAAGACCATCCTGACCAACATGGTGAAAACCCATCTCTACTAAAAATATAAAAATTAGATGTAGTGGTGCCCGCCTGTAATCCCAGCTACTTGGGAAGCTGAGGCAGGAGAATGGCTTGAACCTAGGACGTGGAGATTATGGTAAGCTGAGATCGTGCCACTGCATTCCATTCTGGTATCAGAGCAAGACTCTGTCTTTAAAAAAAAAAAATCAGAATCGCTTGAACCCTGGAGATGGAAGTTGCAGTGAGCCAAGATCGCACCACTGCACTCCAGCCTGGACAACAGAGCTAGATTATGTCTCAAAAAAAAAAAGTTCCTTTCTCAGGCCTACTCTCACCCCTGTCCCCAGACCCCCATTGTCCTTACCTTGTTGTTTTTACTCCCTGTAGTACTGAGCGTCTTCCAACCACATGATAGAATTTAGTGGTTAGGTTTAATGTTTCTTTTCTGAATCTAATCCCCAACCTGGACTGTAAATTCAAGGAAGGCCAGGGTCTTCACTTTGTTCATTGCTTTATTTGCTAGATGAGTGCCTGTCATGTAGGAAATCTCAATAAATACTTGTTGAATGAATGAATGAATGAGTCAAGAAGCAAATATGTGCTTATGCACACAGTGAGCAGGGTGTGGGCAAGGGCAGCTGCTGGGTGGGGATACTGAGACTCATGTGTTTTGCCTCCTTTCCTGCTCTGTATTATCTTATGTTTCTATAATAAGCAGTCATAGGAAAAACAGTGAAAAATATAGAAGACCTCTGTGCTGGACCTTCAGGCTGCTCTAACTTGTCAACATTCCAAACAGCATAATTTTTTCAGAATTATTTATCTATCTATCTATCTATTTATTTATTTATTTATTTATTGAGATGGAGTTTCACTCTTGTTACCCAGGCTGGAGTGCAATGGCGCGATCTCGGCTCACCACAACCTCCGCCTCCTGGGTTCAGGCAATTCTCCTGCCTCAGCCTCCTAAATAGCTGGGATTACAGGCACGTGCCACCATGCCTGGCTAATTTTTTGTATTTTTAGTAGAGACGGGGTTTCACCATGTTGACCAGGATGGCCTCAATCTCTTGACCTTGTGATCCACCCGCCTTGGCCTCCCACAGTGCTGGGATTACAGGCGTGAGCCACCGCGCCCGGCTTGTTTATTATTTTTTGAGACAGAGTCTTGCTCTGTTTCCCTGGCTGGAGTGCAGTGGTAGTCACAACTCGCTGCAGCTTCAGTCAGCCAGGCACAAGTGATTCTCCTGACTCAGCCTCCTGAATAGCTGGGAATACAGGTATGAGCCACCACACCCTGCTAATTTTTAGAGATAGGGTTTCACCATGTTGCCCAGGCTGATCTTGAAATCTTGATTTCAAATGATCTGCCCACCTCAGCCTCCCAAAGTGACAGGATTACAGGTGTGAGCCACCACGCCCGGCCCCAGAACAATTTTTTGAAAGGATAACAAAGGAAAAAACCTGAAAAATCTGTCAACCCATACACAAATGCTTAATGATGCCCAAGGGCCTGCAGAATGTGAAGACCAAGTGTCTGTAATCTGACAGCCGGGGACAAGGGACACTCATTTTCAAACAGTCACGTGGACACTTGGCTCTTGAATCTAGTGTAGTGACCACATTACCTGCCTCCTCCCTGCCAGAGCCTGCTGCCCATGGTCAGGCTGGCGAAGGCCTGACTAGGTAGGCAGAAATGGCCTCTTGGGGCCAGGGCTCAGGGTCCTTCCCCACCCCAGTTGTGTGTGTGTGTGTGTGTGTGTGTGTGTGTGTGTGTGTGTGTGTGCATGCGTGCGGCGGGGTGCTACCATTAGCACATCCCCTTGATCTGAGGGGCCTGAAGCAGAGGCCTGGTGTCCTGCTGCTGCTCTGATCTGTAGCCTTCTTTGGATGGGGGGAGTGTAAGAAAAGACCCCTGGGTCTGCCTGCAGGATGGACTTGCCTGTTATTGCCCCCCAGTGCTCAGGAGCCAAGGGTTCCAGGCAGGGCTATGGCCCCATTGAGACCTCTAGAGGGCAGCCCCTCTAATCAGAACACCCTGCGCTGCATCCACCTCTAGGCCAATGTCCAGCTCTTTCCTGGGGCCATAGGACTCCTGGGTGAGTCCCCAGACTGGAGTCAGGCGCCTGGGCCTGTTGGGAACGGGACTCAGGAAGCTCCTCTCTGCTCAGCTGGCACTGCTGTGGGCCTAGCAGCCACCAGCTTGAGGAAGTTCTTTCTTCAGGGTTTTCCCGAGCTGGCAGCTGCCTTGCAAATTCAAACTGGATCTTTCCTGCTGCCCTTTCCCCGGCAGCCTAGCCTGGTTCAGGGTCTCTCCTAATGAGGATTTGGTGCCAAGGCCTGGGCGGCTCCATCCCACTGGATCCCAGCTGGTTCAGTCCTGTCCAAGGCAGTGGGCAGCTTCCCAGTCCCACTGGAGCCAGGGCACCTGGGGCTGTCCTGCCTCCTTGCAGCCCTTGCCCTACCCCGGACTCCTGCCTCCCTTTGCCATTTGGGGCCCCACACACAGGGACTACTAACCCCCTTTATTCAAAGTACATTTTACTGTTAATAAAAAGATCAGCCCAACAGGGCACAGGATTCCTGGACTTTTGTCCCCAGACTCAGGGCATGAACAGAGAGTAGAAATGGCAGCCTGGGAGCCAGGGGAGGGCAGGGGGCCCTTCCTAGGGCTCTCTCAGGGCTCAGCTGCCCCCAGCTCAGACCCTCCCTGAAGCTGCTGGGGATGCACCTCACGTTGCCTCCTTCCGGAGGCCTCTCTCTGTCCCACTTCCTGGGGCCTCATTAATTCCTCCCCACCTCACCCCGTGAGAAAGCAGGTCTGTGCTGAGTCTGGCCCAGGCCCAGAGCTGGGTCTGAGTGTGCCACTGGCTAGTTTGGGAGGCAGGAGGTGGGGTGAGTGGTGGACTTGCCCTATCCCCACCCTCATCCCAGACAAGATGAGGGACCTCCAACACCATCCATGTTCTGGCCCCTACCTTACTTTCCAGGAATTCGGGGACCATGGAGACCAAGAATATAAAACACAGCTAGTCTTATGTATAATATTTATAAAAGGGGGCTTCCAGCCTCCCCACCCTGTCCCAGTGTGGCCACTGGGGTCTTTGGCTCCTGGGGGCAGGCCACTCTGGGCCTCAGCCTCTCTCTTCTCTCAGCAATGGAATGTGAGCTGTGGCCCAGGCTTGTGGCAGGGGAGTCCCAGCCTCCCCAGGACTGGTGAAGGGACAAGGCAGGGGTCTCTTTGGGGTACCTACACCAGCCCACCCTCAGCAGAACCTGCTGGCCCCAGCTATGGGGTATGGGAGGGTGTCATCCTGTGAAGGGGATGGGAGAAGAGTATCTAAGAGCCCAAGTGTCTGAAAAGGGGATGGGGATAAAAGGGGGGAAAACAAGTGGGCTGGGGGAGATGAGGCCCCAGGAGGCAGATTGTGGCCTAGCAGCAGGGTAGGGGGATGGCTACAGGCTGGATCCCAGCTCTGTTTGTCCCTATAGGCTGTGTCCCCTCAGGAGGCAGCTGCTGGGCCCCAGGGTATGCATCTGTACAAGGAGGGAATGAGGGGCTTGGGCAGGATCTAAGGTGACAGCCCCACCCTGCTCCCAGTTCAGGAAGCCCCTACAGCTCCGGAGCCCAGCGGGGTAGTGGCCCAAAGGCCTTGGTCCTGGCTCTTGAACAAAAACCTGCCACAGAAGGACATGGGGCCTGGCTGAATGCCACGGTGTTAATCGTGTCTTTCTCCTCCCCTGACTGGCCACTGGATGGGAGCAGGAGCTGGAGAGTCTGGGCAGGGCTGCTGGGGTGAGTAGACAGAACAGGATGAGGGTCATCCTAGTGGTTTCCTCCATGCCGGCTGTTCCCTGAGGCCCAGTCAATGATGATGAAGCTCAAGCTCATGGTCATCAGCAAGAAGCCAAGCACGGCAAAACACAGGGCCTGCGGGATCAGAAGTCAGGGTCAGGTCCAAGGTCAGGGCAGCTCCCTCAGCCCCATACCAGTCCACTGGCCTCCAGGCCCCTCGCACCAGGATTTTGGGGGTAGATCTTGCAGGCTCCTTCTCTGTGGGCATGATTCGGAAGTAGAAGATGGCAGGGAAGATGAAGATGAGGCACGGGGCAGATGTGGCGCCTGCAAAGAACAAGACATGGCCACTGCTGGCTCATATTCACCTACTGACTAAGGTTCGAGGGTGGATTCTTCAATGAGATCAAACATTCCTTGCTGAGGGAGTTTCATGTTGAGACCACTGGAGAGTTCTGCTTGATTCTGGGAAGCCCACCAGCCTCTCCCCCTAGTTCTCCATCCACAAGGATGGAAGGCTGCTGATGCTGGTGTCAGAAGAATGTCAGCCAATGAAGCTAGCAATGAGGAAAGGCAAGTCAAGAGATGGAGAGAGCTGAGGGCTTAAGGGTATCGGGCTTCAGTGTACAGCTATACTTGAAGGCTTCTCTGTTATTTGAGCCAGTGGATTCCTTTCTGCTTAATGCATTTTGGGTTGGATATCAGACATAGAGAACCAAGAGGACTGTCTGTGATATCCATGATACTCAGCCGCCAGGTCTGTCAGTCCTGGCAGAATTTGTTAGTCCTCTGAGTTGGGTCACCCCAAAGATATTTCAGAATTGTCTGCTCTACCAACTGCACATGGGCCACTGCAGTTAATATAGGGTGTAAGCTCAGGAATCGGCCAGGATTTGCAGAGGTGAACTCCTCTGGGGAATAACCTATGTCCACAGCAGGGCCAGACCCTCACCAATGACTCCAAAGATGCCCAGGATGTTGGGGGCAAAGATGACCAGCAGGTTGATACAAGTGAGCAGGCTAAAGGCAATGACCACGTGCCGCAGCCAGCTGAACTCCTGGTTTGGAAACAGCATCTGCTGGATGGCGCGGCGCACCTGAGGGGCAGGTTGGAAGAATCATCAGCCTGTTGTCCCCATCAGCCCCTCCCGCCACTGGTCTGGCCACCTGCCCACCAGCTCACCGGGAACAGAACGATGGGCACTGTGAGCGTGACTGCTGTCAGCACGGCCACGCGCACGCACAGGATCAGCACATCGAACGGGTCCACCTTGCTGTAGGTGTGCAGCAGCTCCGACTCCACCCCGTCTGTGGCAGGCAGGGAGGGTGGTCAGCAGGTGGCCCCAGGAAGGAGGTGGGATCTGAGCTGCCTGGGGGACCCCAACCCTGTGGGGATTGGCATGCAGACTCATCTCCACCATGGCAGGGCACAGACAGGCACCACACACCTCGGTATGCAGGGCACCATGGCCACAACCAGCCCCTTCCCCCTAGCCTGGCCTCGGCCTCTGCCCATCTGTGCAGCCATACCGTAGAAGGAGAGGTAGCCGAAGAGGGCAGCCAGGAAGTACATGACGTACATGACGGCGATGGACAGGTTGGAGATGTGCTGCATCTTCTTCTTAGAGGGGCTGTGGGGAAGTGGGGGACAGGTGTTGGTGACAAGCTGGGTCACATTGGGAGACCCCACATGCCCCAAGGTCTCTCTGGCACCATACTTTCACCATTTAGCAGCCAACAGAGTCTCCTTCTTGCCCTTAATTGCCTCTCATGGCTGCCACAAGATCTTAGATAAAGTGACTTGGCTTCTGTCACCCCACCCCCTCACATTTAGGACCACATCCATTCTTTCCAGATCAGCTCATGGCAGCCTTGCCCCTGCTCCCAGCCAGATACCTACTCCTTGAGCTCGGTATAGATGGGCAGCACCTCGGGGTGGCAGACGAAGGCGAAGGCCATGATAGGGATGGTGTATGCTGTCTGGGGAAACACGGGGCTGTGTCAAGGCAGTCCCCCACTATCACCGGGCCCCCGCCTCGCCCTGGCCTGTCAGAACCTGTGAGTTGAGTGTGAAGTAGCTGGGGGTGCAGAAGGCTGCAGCCTCAGGCTCGACCTGCAGCTGCACCTTCTCCTCCATGACCTCCACATGACTGAAGTTGCCTGTGGTGTTGCTGAAGTTGGGGGGCAGTGGACAGGGCACATGGAACTTTTTGTAGATGACCTAGAGTGGGGAGGGATGAGGGTGTCAGAGCCAGGCGGGCTGCCTGGGAAGTCACCACGAAGCCACATCTAGATCAGGACTGGCGGAACTGCCTTCTGGCCCAGGCTTCCCAGAGAGACCTGCCCCCTCCTGCTGACAGGGAACTCCCCGAGGGGACCCACCACCCCCTTTCTCGGCTAACATGGAGGAGTGACTCACTGCAATTAGGAAGAACACCATGCAGCTGAGAGAGAAGCCACTGGAGTAGCCCAGGTAGCCTGCAGAGTGGAGGCGCATTGTGAGATCGGGGGTCCTCCCATGTGCGCCTCCAACATCCCCTCCAAGGCTCTGACCCTGCCACACTCACCAAGCTGCCGCATCAGTGCCAGGGGCAGGATGACAATGACAGAGACAAGGATCACCAGGTAGTTCCCGTTCATGTACCAGTCCCTGCAGGGATGGGAGTGGGGAGCCAGGGTCAGAATCCATTCAGCCTGGGATGGGGCTCCTGCCTCCCTCTGCTGGAGTCACCAGTGGTGCCACTGAGTGACATCTGAAGAATCTTTGTCAACAGCTCTGAGTCTTACTTTCCCCATCTGCAAAATGGGTGTGCCCTTGACACTCTTCTTCAGGATGATGTGAGGACTAAGTTTCCAGCCTGACACACAGCTCATGCTTGAGACCCTCTAGATTATAGGCACTGCTCTTGCCTCTCTCAGGACACACAGGCCTGGGCCCAGCCTTTGGAGGGAGGCGTGTGGGAGGAAGGGAGTTGGCTCTAGAGGGAGGTGGCGTTTTCCACAGAAGTTCCAGGCACTTGCAACAACTGGAGCCCCTTGCGGTTCCTTCTGGCATCTGGGCCTTGCCTCATCCTGCCCCCTCCTCTGCCCACCAGGAATGGATACGGGGCATAAGGGAACAAGGGGATAAGGCCCAGGACTGTCCTCAAAGGCAAGCCCTGAAGCCAACTTCTTGGGAAAGGCCCAGGGCCCCCCAGGGACAGAATACCAGCTCTCCCTCTTTCCAGAGCTGCTCTCAACCTCCCAGTCCCTTTGCTTGCTCGAGGTGTTGGGGGAGATGTCAAGAGCAGGGCCTGGCTGTGTCTCCTCTGTCCCACAAAACATGTTTGATGCCCAGTCAATGCTGGCTAAAGTGACAGGCAACTGGGACACCTGGGCTTAATCTCTTGGTGGGGGGGCAACCCCATGGTCAGGAATAGTAGGCGCTTAGAGCTAAGCCTGAGGCTCCCACGCTTACACGCTGAGTCTGGGGCGAGGAGGGGCCTGGCTTCCTTAGCTGCACCCTGCCCCTAGCCCCACATGTCCCTTCTGGAGGCAGGGGGACCCTAGGTGCTTCCCAAGTGAGTGTGGACTGAATGCTGGCTCTGCTGGTAACTCGCCCTCCAGCAGCCACTTGTCTGCTCTGTCTTGCCTCTCTCACTAGCCCAGCCTGGGCCCCCCACCCTCACCCAGCCCCAGCCTACCCCACCCCTCCTCACTGCACCTCACCCCTCCCCTCCCCACCCCAGGGCTCACGAGGTTTTCTCCTCCAGATTCAGGAAGGTCTGTATGACAAGTGGCAGCTCAGACTTGATGATATACAGGTAGCTGGACATGGCTGTGGGGAGAGGGGCAGGCAGGCACTGGGGTCAGCCCAACCAGCTAGCTTTCGGAGCTGTCCACTCACTAACTGCCTGCCCCTGCCCACTGCTCTCACCTCCGATGTTCTGCAGTGTGATGGCCAGGGCTGCTGCCAACTTTCCTGGGGTCCCAAAGGCACGGTAGCCCAGCTGCTCATAGGCACGGATGCCTATGGGAGCAGGGTCAAGAAGTCAGGAGTTTGCCCCAGTTTACCCACCAGCTCCCGCCCATTCCAGGCTGGCGTGAAACTCACCCACGACCCCTGAGGACTTGAGTAGCAGGTGGATGGAGTAGCTGGAGAGCAAGGCGACAGCTGTCAACAGGAACCTGGGGACACATGGGAAGATGAAAGAAAAAGAGGCCACCTGGGGCTCCCCTGGCTGACAGAGAGTGAGGGGCTCTGGAAGGCCGGGGCGTGGAGGGTCTGTGACCTGGGTATGTGGACTCCCAACAGGTATGGATGCAAGCTCAGCAGGCCCCAGGGGTGATGAACACCACCTCGTTTGATCCAGGGTGGGACACACCCCAGAAGGGGCCCTGTGAGTCAAGAGTGTCCCTGTGACTGCCCTCTAAGCACCTCCTTCTCTCAAGTCCTTGGAACAAACATGTTTTCCATCCTGGCTTCAGGGCAGAGCCCCCAGGCAAAGGACACGTGTGCCCACACAAGGCCTGGCTGTGGGGCTCGGCCATCACGTGTAAGGTGACAGAAGGACAGTCTCTGGCCTGTAAGGCTGGCCTGTGTTGTGACCTCAGTGGGTTTACTGGGCAGTGAGGTATATTTGTTTGGCTGTGGAGATTTTTTCAGCCGTGGTTTGTTAGTGTAAGAAGTGCCCACCCATTGCAGCCTGGGCGCTGGGACAGGGAACTGGCAGGTCCCGGGAGGTCATGGTTGGTGGCTAGCTTAGGGCCCCTATCTTTAGAAGGTTCTCTGAGGGCACTCACAGGAAAAGGATAATGCCTGTATTGGCCATGGCATAGGCGAGTCCCAGGATGCCGCTGCCCATGATGGCGTTGCTGAGGTTGAACACTGACATCCCGAACGATGTCTTCCCCTCGAACTGCAGGCACCAGGGTGGGATGGGGAGGGGTGGGGGGAGTCAGCAAGGCACAGGGGCATCATGGTGTCCCCCTGACTGTCCCTCAGCCTCCCACTGCTGCCAGAGACCACTTCATTACTGCATCTAAGCACCCCACAGTGCCCCCCTACAACCCGTTGCTGTCCCACTCACGTCGGTGAAGGTTGGCTCCTTGCTGAGACTTTTCTGTAGGAAACTCTTGCCCTCAATACAGCTCCCTGTGGGGTCCTCGATCCTGCAGGCACAGGTCAGGGTGGGTGGCTCTGCTCCAGTCCTTTGCTCTGTTACCCCTGCCCTGTCTTGAGCCACCACTGTGTCCCTCTTGTACTCACCTCTGGTTGCGTGCCATGGGGGTGACGACTGGGAGCAGCCCCTCTGAGTGTTTGCCGTTGGGCACCAGTTCCACCATCTCTGTCTGCAAAGGTGCCTCCATAGCTCAGGGCACACCACCAGGAGCACTGGTCTCACACCAACAGTCAGATGTCTGCAGAGCAGCCAGGTCCCTCTGGTTAGCCCCATTACTTGGGCCTATGGCCCAGCCTCCCACATGAGGCCTGCAGCCATAGCACACCTCCAGGATGCCCACTTGGGACATATCCACACATGCAGCTCTGCCTGCTGCCTCCCTGAGATCTGCCATTGGAGGAGTCCAGCTTGGACACCTGAGTTCCCATGACATTCTGATGGGACACCCTAGCCAGTACATAATGCACCTCTTACATGCACACCAGTCCAGGCAAGCCCTTGGGGTCTCGGTTTCACCATCTGTGAAGTGAGGGTCATCTGGATGACCCAAGTTCAGAGCCCAGTGGCACCAGCATCCCCAAATGTTCAGTCTCAGACCCCCAGACTTCACTCTGGGTATGTACCCAGGACAGACTTCCCCTCCTTGACATTAGTACTGGGAGATGGTTTCCTACACTGGCCCCGTGTCCAGGGACCTCCTAGCTAACCTAGAATGGCACTGCCCGACGGCTGGAGGCCTCGGGAGAGGGTGAGGGCTGTGGGCCCTGTTCCCAGCCGCCCGGCGGGCACTGCTGGCAGCCAGAACAAAGAGCCCTCTGTGGGCTGAGAGCTGGCGCTGGGAACGGCAGGCGCAGAGGCTGTCCCCCCTCCCCGGAGCCAGGATGCCTAAGGCGGTGCTGGGTGGCTGGACACCTGGGCCCTTCCCGCCTGGCTGTGGCAAAGGGCTTTTGGGGGGCCTTCCAGGAAATGGGTACTCCAGGGCTGGTTCTCTGTGCCACACATGCTTCACCCTCCACACAGTCCTGGCCTCAAGGCCATGTTTTCTTCCAAGTCTTTCCTCCACTGCCAGGCAGGGAACCCCCCCACCAACCCTCAGGAGCCTGCTGTCCAGGAGTGGACCCTCTGAACAGACCCCCATTTCCTAGGGCCCCAGGCCAGGAGCTCAGGCCCTTGGCCAGCTATAGAGGAGCCTGGGTCACCAGATCAGTCTCCTTTCTCTGCCTTCAGGGCTTGGCTCTGCTGGGCCTCAAAGGAATCAGCTCCCCTTCCCCCACCACCCCTGCCCACTGCCCAGACAACTTACTGGCCCCTCTCCCATCACTGGGTCCAGGAATTGCCTACTTCATACCCAGAGGTGGCTGGGCATAGTGCCCCCAGGTTCTGTAAGGACACCCCGAAGGCCAGCCTGGCCAGCAGGAGAGCTGAGGCCAGAGTGGAGACCAGGGAGGGGGCAGCCCTGCCAGGCAGGACAGGCAGAGCCGGGTCCTGAAGCTGTGGTGCCCTCTCTGCTGGGTAACCCTGAATTCTGCCCCAAATCCCCCATCCCCACTCTGGCCCCTGATGGTCTCAGGTCTGCCTTTGAATCTGGAGCACTGGGGGACTCAAACGTGGCACTCAGGGCTAGGGGTGAACAGGAGAGGCTGGGTTCAGGCCTCAGGCCTGGTGTCCCCGGAGGCAGCAGAGGTCACAGCAGCCTCTGGCCTCTCTGGTCAGAGGACTCCCTCCCTGCATTGTTCCAGGCAGCCCCAGGCCAGAGTTCAGATTTTGGCACCTGGGCCCTGGAGACCCCATACTTGGCAATCTTGCATCCCCCAAACCTGCCTCTCCTTCTGGTGCCAGAGTCCTACCTCCTCTCCTCCAAGCGCCACCCACTCAGGACTAAAATAATGTTAGCATCTCTTCTTGAGCCCTCTCCCCATTCCCAGAGTTCCCTAGATCAGCCTGTCCTCATGCCCCTGCCCTAAGCCTTGCCATCAGCATCCCTCCAAGGGTCCCAGCTGGGTATGGAGATACCGGTGCTGGCGCCCAGAGCTACTCCAGAGTCCCCCCCCTCCACCCCTCAGCTGGGACTGTCCTGTCTCGGCCCCCTACCTTGGGCAGGCTGGGACAGGCCCTCAGAGTGTGCTGAGCTGGCAACCTGGCCAAAGCACCCTTCTCTGCCCTAATATCCTTCCCTAGCAGCCAGGCATTGCCTCCAGGGAGACCACAGTCCGTGGCATGGGGTGGAGGAGGTGTCTGAGGTCTGAGCTCCAGGTTCCCCATCCCCGCTGCAGGAGCTGGGCCTAGACCCTCGGGGCCTGGTGGCTATTACTCAATCATGACCAGTCATTTCTGGGTCTTGGGCTGGGGCCTGACATCCCAGAAAGGATATAGAATATCTCTTCTCAAGTGACCTCCAGCCTGGAAGAGACAAATCCCCCAAATAGCACCCTCATCACTACACTATGGCTCCTGCTGCAACTGAGTGTGAGCCACAGAGAGCTGGGTCTCAAAAAAGAGGACAGGGAGCCTCAAGGAAGACTTCCTGAAGGAGGTGATGAAGCCAGTCCTAAAATTCCAGTAGGCACCCTGGGGTGTCAAACAGGAAAGAGTGCACCAGGCAGAGAGCACAGCATAGGTAGAGGCCCTGAGGTTCGGTACAGGCAGGCCGTGAGGATTGAAGGAAGGTTCTGTGGCTACAGACAAACCTGATAGAGCCGTAAAGGCCAGGTCTAGGAGCCTGGACTTCGGTCCAGGGCAGGGAGGAGGGCTGAGGGGCCAGGGTGAGGATTAGCGCTAGGCTGGCATGCAGCCCCCAGCAATTCCCTGAGGCTGCCAGCCCATTTTTGACAGCTCCTACCCCTTGGCCCGTGGCCTCCCAGGCTCCTTTATATCAGGGAGTAAGGGTAAACTCTGGGAACTGCCCCTGCATAAAAAAGCCTGCCAGCAGAGCCTGATCCCCTGTGGTGAAAGCCCAGGGTAGATCCTCTAGCACTGGGCTTGGCCCTGCCTCACCATGTGACCAGGGGCAGGGTACTCCTCCACTCAGGACCTCAGCATTTCCCTCCACCGCCATCCTCTAGGGGGTCCCATGAGGCTTGGCCAAAGCTGGGGATGAGTGAGGAGCCTCCCCAAGGCCTTCCTGCCCAGGGTAGGCCATGGGTGTCCAGAGAGTAGCCAGGCGCTAGGAAGGGGAGATCATAGTGACCTTGGGCAGGTCATCAAAATGGCATCTTTCATGGATGTAGTGTGAGCCTAGGCAGTAAATCAATGGCCCAGGCCATTGCCCTGGGACCTATTTGCTTTCCTGGGAGATAAGGGCCAGGAGGGGCCAGGAGCCACAGGGGTGGCGCAGCCGGTAACACCCACCCACGCGCACATCACCGGGTGAGAATTCATCAGGCACACCTCGGCGGGTGTTGAGTTTGGCTAATTAAAGATTTTGAGGCCTAGGAATCCAGGGCACCTCAGGATGGCTGATGCAAGCAGCTATAGGAAGCACAGCTCTCTGTCCAGGGATCAAGGTCCTTGGAGTTCCCAGGATTCTGAGCCTTGCTTTCCTTCCGCATGCTCAGGAACATAAGTGGGTCTGGGTCTGCAGTAATGACTGGTGACAGGGAGGCTTTCACATTCTTCTTTCCTTGGTGGCCACTTGCACCAGTGGAGGCGGAGACTCCCAGGAGTTTACTGCTAAGGCCCAGGCTTCCCAACCTCAGCCA